TAATAAACAAAAAAACACGAAGCAATTACAGCAATGCCAAAAATTAGCTCATGTCTGATTACACGTTGTCGCAGTTACAAAATTCGAACCATGAGCTTTGTCATATATTGCAATACATTGCATTGGAAGTATGATTACTATGACTTAGACTTATAATAAAGCTTCGTGTAGAGAATAATGAAAGAAAGTAGTGAATTATTCGTTACGATGGAATTTATGAAGAATGAAAAGTTGTCAGCTGCATTCTTCATAAGACTCTGAGATTTAGATATGGATGTTGGAAGTTTGATTGAGTATGAGCCGAGATAACGCACGAGGGTCATATGCCTCGTCTGCTCTGATCGTTCTTTGCCGCCTCTCAAAATTGCTCTACGCGACCAAGCGTCTTCCACAGGGCATTTGGCTCCAATGCCCTTTTTTCCGTTAATTGCAAATTGATGTCGGCAAGTCATACATCATTATGGATATTTTGAAACTTACATTTTCATACAACTGCGGATTTAGTTGAGTGAAAAAATAGCAGAATCCGTGTTTTTGGTTTTCCTCGATTCCTAGGTCAAATCAAAGTTTTTAAGCCCGTTTTCTTCCCTCATTTGACAGAAAATACTATTCACAATAAAGCTAACAGCTGCGTAACTTTCAGTGTTAGATATCCAGCAAAATTTCCTAACGTGCGCACCAAAAAAGCTGTATTTCCTTTTATAACTGTCATTCTGCTCGTTGCGTTATTAAACGCAGACAACTTTTAGGAATAATGAATAGAGGGATAAAATTTGAAGAAGAACGCAAAGATGGCTTTTTTTAAAATTATCAAAGAGGTCATTTCACTTTTGGTTTCAATCTCCAACGTTTGAAACTACCATTTCTTTTAGGTTACTGTTCTCATTGTCTCAGAATCTGCTTGTTTTCTCGCGTTTTCTCCCGCTTTTCTCTCTTAGCTGTTGGAGAGGAAAATATACGTTAATACGATCTTCCTAGGATTTAAGAATGGCATTCAAACATGTCAATGTTGTTCACTTATGAAAAAAAGACAGCTCTTGCGCCTTAACTTGTTGGAGGTGCATGTAAAATGGAAGGGAAACAAAGTATGTGAATAAGAATGTTTGCAGAATGGTTATGGCATTTTTGCTACATTTTTCATTATTACTGTTTAAATAATAACGATTTTTTTCTATGATTTGCTTGTCTTTTTTTGAGAGCTGCCATAGTATATCAAAAACCATCATCACTTTTTGCAAACCGCCTGATTTAAAATCACCATCACTTTTGTTGCCTTTTCTATGGTGTATCAACTTATGAACGGAGACCGAGGATCATTCCTACTCTAGGCAAGTGTAATCGAACTTGTCTCTAACGTCAGCATTCATTCCAATACATTAAAGGTCTAACTTTTTACAGTTTTATAGGTAAGTTGTGAAGATATCCAAAACGAAACCTTCGTATTTCGTGTACGAGCAAGTTTTTTTTAGTGCTTTTTGATTTTTTACATCAAATGATTGAAAAAATTTGTAAGATCCACAACGATATCCCGCAAACTTCAGCTATCCTCGTTACATAAATTGATATGGCGGAAACAAAGAAATGAAGGAGACAAAACAACGCAGTTCTCTATGACTTTTAAATGTCTTCTTATCGACTGGTTTTATGCAGGGACTACAATATGAACTCCATGGTTGACTTTAGAATATAAGCTTCCTCTTGTTTATTGTGTCATTCTTAAATATCTACTGAGCTTGATTTACGGATTTTCGAACATGTACAACTACTAGATGCTTACAAGTCATTATTTTCTTATTTCATTTGTTAAAAAAGAGATATACGGTTAGTCGCTAGGAGATTATTGAGTTTTCTTGTTCACAGTTTTGCTCGCAGCTTTAAGGACCTTCTTAGCAGCCTTCTGTTTATGCAGGCGTGAGCGCCATGGCGCTAAGGTCAGGGCATCGGCAAGATGTGGAAAGTGGAGTCCTAAGCCATGATGCAAGTATCCGTTTTCAGAGACTACTGATGTGGCAAAGGCATGACCACTTTCTAAAAAATTAATAAGTAATTATATTTAGAATGAATTAAGGCGCACAAACCCTTAGCGTAAGACTTTGCAACATTGTGAACCGCCGTAGGGGGATGATAGTAATGACCATACTGTAAGAAGAAACTTTTAAATTGAAAAGAATGTGGCTTGAAATATGACTCCATACCGGAAACATATGGTGGTAGCTTAACGTAGGAAATACAGGGGCAGTAGGAAAAGATGCAACTAAAGGTGCAACTGAACCGACTGCAGCATGTGCTACGGGAAAGTGTTCCGGCTCCACATCAAAAGCGGGTCCTTCTGAAATTGACTCGATAAAAAATTACTACAAGCTCGCAATACTGAAGAACTGTTGAAACCTTCTTCCGGGATGCTTGCGTAGGACCTGAAAAGTGCATATTGGTTATAAAAAATTCTATTCTTTGAACGTTTGTTCCACTCAGTAATTCGGAGTTAAGCTGTTTTGAAATTGGATTCAATAATCACAGATTCGTATAAAGCTTCAGGTGAATGGCTTTCAAAGGCTGCCTACCTTCGAACAAGCATAACTGATAAGAGGAAAATGAAGTAGAAGGAATTCATGATTGCTGACGCGTTTCCATCGATGCTAGACTATCTTTTATAGCGTTGGCATGTGTTGCAAGCGCTGTTTTCATTTGGAAAAAGACATCAAGCGATTTCGGCGTTGAGTTTTCTCCAGCTCCTTTCAATACAAGGTTCAATTCATCATCAAAAACCAAGTTAGTATTTGTTTCTCACAGAACGACGCTGCGAATGTGAACACTTGATTGAAAACTGTAGCATAGGAATGTTTTTTGCAACACTTTCCTCAAAGTTTTTACGCCTCACAATTACCATTCATGTCATTTAAAAACAATCTCAAGACAAAAGTTCAAGTTTTCTACAAAAATTTGTCTGTTCATTCGAACGTAATTGATCGTAGCGTTGCAAGCAACTGAATGAACGAATAACTCACATTATTTCGCCTTTGAGGATCACAAAATAAACGACCTGCTAGAACCGAAACTATACTGAGACTGCATAATTGACGAAGTCATCGGGGATTAGTCAAAAATGCGGAGAATATGCACAGAAGTATTTTGAAAAATTCAGGAATTTTAATCTCACCAGTCATTTATCAGTACATATGTATGTATGCCTATGTGTATGCATGTATGTCCGTATAAATGTATGCATGTATGCTCTGAACACTAATTTTTGCTTCTAATAAAGCCCAGACTATGCACACACACACATCTCGGACGCAGGCCACTCTATACTTAGTCGTCTGATAGCGTTGATTTGCGAATTTTTGGCCAAAATAAGTCATTTATAGAAGGTAGGTGATTTAATCGTTATCAAACTACTTAAGCAGGATCGTGTAAACACATATGTTTTCTGGAAAGAAGCACGTTGACGCGGAGCAGTTGCTCATATGGACAGTACAACGATAATTGTAGGGCAAAGACAGCCAATTCATGTTTTCGTTCACATTTGAAGAAACGTAGGGAAATGACTTTAATTTGAAAGTTTTATGCTAGAGACATCTAAGCATTCATTGCATTGACTGATTACAAAAAAATTGTAGGCTCACGTAATTGGCGTTGGGGAGGAGGCAGGGTAGGGGCTTCGGAATACGATCGCGAACTAGGATTGCAATGCATATTATTTTCTCCTTTCAATACAAGG